AGGCAATCTTTTTTCAGGTGCGGGATCTTGAATAGGTCCAATGGGAGTAATGAGTCCTTTGGCATGGAGTCGATCGAAGGCAGTATCGTAACTCATCCCAATGGGGGTGAAGTCTTTCCTTAGTTGCTTCTTAGATCCTTGGTTATCCATGGCTAAAACTTCACTGAGATCAAAGGTACTAACATTGTTACTAGAGTGGGCACTTTCGGAAGAAGAAGGATTGTCGTTCTTCTTTCCTTTCCAGCCACCGTGGTTACTATTGTTAGTAGCTTTTTGCTTTGCAAGGTCCTCTTCGATTTCAATTCCGATGTCATAAACGACCTTGAAAGTATTCAAATTGTGTTGATATTTTAGGTGCTTCGAATACTTTTCTTGGAGATTCTTGATAAACATCCTCACAGATTCCTTTTCGGTGGGGACTTCAATCATCTTAGCGGAAGTTTCCCTCCACTTATTAAAGAAAGAAGTAAAGCCTTCGTTTTCTTTTTGTCTTAGCATCTCAAGTTGTCTATGATCGGTTTCAACTTGGATATTGCACTTGTACCTATCAACGAAAGCGTTTGCTATCGATTCCCAGGTAGAGGTTTTCTCCTTGTCAAGGGAGAAGAACCATTGTTGGAAAACGGTTTCAAGAGATAGTGGGAACAGAGAGGGGAAAACCTTCTTATCGATACTCTTAATGGTCATTATAGTTTCGAAAGCTCTTAGATGGAAGTAAGGGTTATCTGTTGCCTTGAATTTTGGGATGTCATTGGCATTGAAATTCCGCGGAAGAAGTTCCTTGTCCAGCAAGACCCCTTGTGATGTAAGCTCTTGAAACTTGTAATCGCTAGACAACTTGCTTAGGCTCTCTTGCATGAGGTACATCTGTTGTAGCTTCACGGGATCATCAACCTTGAGGGTGAGTAGCTTCAGTGTTTCAGTCATGGTAACCAATTGGTTCCTAAGCTCATTGACTTCTTCTTGAATTGCCATTATCTTCTTAGCCTTCCTTTTTTGACGAATCGGTTTATCAAAAAGCGAGACTTGAATAAAGAGGTTTTCCTTGATTAATCGCCCTTCTCTCCTCGACCAAGTACTGTGAAAAAGGAATTTGGGGATAGTTATTGTTAATTATTTGACTCAAACTTTATTCAACATGCAATGGATGGAGGAGGTGAAGAAAGATGGAAGAATGTGAAGAAAGATTTAGATGGAGGGATATGAAGAATTAGGAATAGAATGTACCCCTCAACTCAAATGACGGAAAAGACCGACTCATGCATGAACCTAAGACATGGCCATGGTGATGTGTACTCAAAGTGTGTGCTAAGACTAGTGAGTGTAGGTGACATGTTAAGACTCGTGTCATGACCATGTGGCTAGATTATGTGACCAAGACTCGATTAATGACTTGACAAGGTGTTATTGACAGCGAAAATTAACCGAATTAATTAGTAAACTGGTTAATTAGACCCTAGGTGATGATTCGACAAATAATCCGAACTGTCGGCCAAGCGACAGGGCTGGCGTCACACTATGGTGGTTGGCGCCAGACTTTTTAGTAAATGTCTGGCGCTACACACCATACGGTGGCGCTACAGCCCAGATTTTGGCACCAATATTGGAGCCTCGGTCTGGGACTGTTTTCGATATTATTAGTCAAATGGGGTATGCCTAAAGTCGTACTAGATCAATTCCGATTAAAAGAAGAAAAAACTTTATTGACTCGAATTAATTAATTAATTAATTAGGCAAAGTTCTTTAAGTCATTAATTATAATCTCAACACAAATCAACAAACGGTTAAGCATAGAATATATATGCATAACAAATAATGCAAAATTAGTCAAGTAGGCACAATATGATGCAATGAGTTCGCAACCTAACCATGGCTCTAGTTCTCTAAAGTTCGGGATATGGTTTAGTCAAATAAGGTCCATGGTTAATTGTCCAGATGCACCGCGTAGAAGCCTAACCGTGAAGGGTTAACGCGTGTGGATAGAACACCGCGAGTTTTTTAGAAAAAACTCACTTCCATGGTTTGGTGAATTCAACCTCTCAGATGTACCCTTTGTTGCCTGGAGCGTTCAATCGGGTAGATAGAGCATGAGTTCCCAGAGGGTTATGTCCATATGTAGAACACATATGGGTTTCAGAAAAGTGAGAAAAAATTCAATCAGGAAGTCGGATCGAGCAAACAATACAAAAAACCGGTCGAAATTAGAACGCATATTTCTGGCTCGGTATTGGGGGAAATTGGCGCCAGCAAACAGAGACTGGCGCCAACTTTTAACTGTAGCGCCTGGCGCCAATACTGGCGTCTGGCGCTACGGCTAAAAGTATGGCACCAAGCTCTGGCCCCTGACGCTACTTCCCACATGCCTCAGCAGCTTTCTGTGCTCAATAAAATCATCTAGTTTCGCGCGGTGTTATTTCAGTCCTAGTTGTGAAAGACATTTCTCAAATTTCCTACGTGTAAAATCCTATGTTTTTGACTCATTACGGATGGTCTTTCCAATGAGAACCTTTTTATGCATATGCCACAATGTTAATCAAAATTACGCACATGAAATACTTAGAACTTTTCGAGTCTCATCCACTCATTCTAAATCATTGCCGAAACAAATTTAGGAATTAAAGTAGAAATCCTCCCCAGTGGAGTCACCAAAAACTGTAGGGAATAAAATTTCAAGCCTTTAAAAATCCCACTAGCTTGAACCCCACTGTGATCATACACTAAAGTACGATGGCGTCCAAAAGGGAAGAAGATAGAGCAAAAGAGTCGCCAACAAGTTTTTAAGGAACTTGTAAACCGTTCACGAGGTGAAGGTTACACCCCTTAACGATCCAAGAGATTGTCAACTCCATAAGGTCATGAACCAAATAAGGGTTCGGGGATGAAGGTACAAATTCAACCTAAAAGAGACTGAACCTGCCCTAATAATAGGCCTCTACTTTATTCTGCTCGTATTCATGTACGCTTTCTGATTAACATGCAATCAATAGAATTAACCCTAAACCTGTTTAATCTATGTTGGTTGAATTTAATGCACATATAAACTATTATTGGCGATCACTTGAAATTATAATCACAATTAACCCTAACAAGATTATTAATTATCTTATCAAACGTGATTGCAAATACCAATTCCCTTTAACCTGCAATAAAAGGTGATCAAGCAATAACAATATATAATATATATCAAGCATCATAATAAATAATCATCATCAATCATAATCATAAATGTTAGAAAAAACATCGGAAGCATCATACTTTTAATCACGCTTAATATTAAAAATACCCTAGACATGATACTAAGAATCATCAAAATAACAATTTAAGCATGATATCTACATCATGAAATCAATTAAACCATTAAAGTACTTACTTGGATGTCTCGTACCTCTTTCTAATAACAAAATACACACGTTAGTAACTTCAAGGAAAATAATGAACAAAGCAATTAACTTAAATAATTGAAATAGAGATTTGGGACCAAACCCTCAGAAATTAAAACCTTTCACGTCTAGGGCGAAGGCAACTTCGAATATGGCTAGGTGTTTCTAGATCTTGTGAATGCGGAATTTTGTATTAAATAGCAAAGTTTAGAAAAGAATGCTAAAAGATTAATGTTATCGAGAATTGATAAAAGAAAGATGATGAATGAATGAATTGCGAAGAATTAGATGAATGATAATTGGTGAATGATGAAGACTTAAGAATAAGGAGAATTGGTGAATGTTGGTGATTGTTGATATGATATTTATAGATAAAATCAGCCAAAAAAGATAATTTATCAAAACAGAGTCTGAAGACGCAAAACCAACTTGGCGCCAGGACCAGTGGCTAGCGCCAGGCGCCAATGGCTGGCGTCTGGCGCCAATCCTGGTTCCAGGCGCCAAGGCATGGGGTTGGACGCCAAACCGGCTTTTAACACGTTTTTGAAAATCTGATAATTTTACCGTACTGGAAGATAAAATAATATAATTTCAGTCGAAAATGCTATTTGATCTAATTAAAACTCTAAAGAATCCTAATTGAATTAAGAATGATAAGACCTTCTAGAATGTTCTAGAAGACCAAAACCATTCCTAATTGCATTAGGAATGATAAATCATATTAGGCCCTCCCCTAGATCATTGGGCCGTACTTAAAGCTCAAACCGGGCCCAGCTTAGTAAATTGGCCATAAATTCCTCAATATTCATCGGAATTGGGCTTATAATATATCTTTGGAAAGGTCTTTGCAAGCCCCATCCAACTACACCACTATTGGACCCATATCATGGACCAACCAAACTGAATTTGCTGTTTTCTTAAAATAAAGTTTTCAAAAACAGAGAGAAGAGAAAAGAAAAAAGAAAAGAAATAAAACTTTCCGCAACACTAGACCTTTCCACACTTTCGTTTCATTCGATTATGATTCGACGTGAAAGACACTTATCACTGGGTTTGGTTTTGGGGAGACACAAATGGGTGTCTACAGCATGCACTCTTGAAGTTACCTCATTCTCCACCGGAACCTCATTCTCCACCGGAACTTCATTCACTACTACGAAAATAGCATAAGAAACCGTACAAAACATGCCAAAGAAACCTGAAAAGTTATGGTGCCTAGGTAGTAGGTCTCTTAGCCAAAGAGATCACAAAAGTTGTCTGGTTTCTTAGATTAATCAAGGAAACCATTTATCACATATAACTGGTTTCTTAGTTAGATTTGAAATATTATTATTATTGAGGGAAAGGAACCATATATTTTAGATATTCGGTTTCTTAGATGTCGTTAAGGCACCGTATATAAATAAAACGTGGTCTCTTAGATTTATATAAGAAACCAACAATGTTGAAAATCCGGTTTCTTAGGTTCTTTGTTTTCATCTACGTAATAATCTGAGAAAATAATATTTATACATCAAATTAAATTTTCTATTATAATTTTTTATTAAAATATGTATTATGTATTAATACTATACTATACGTTCGTTGGGGTGAAGCTATCCAAATTGATAACAAATAAAATTGCTTCATATTAATATTAATATATATGTACCTGTAGTATATATGTACCTGTATACCTGTAGTAATTAATATTAAATAACCACAACAATATCAAATAGGGCTGAATAATTTAATACTTCACTAAATATATTTAATTACACACTGTACATTATGTATCCAATAATTCACTAAGCATCACTATCCTTTTTCTAATAAAAAAATAATAATAAAACAAAACCTAAAATTCTCCGAAGTGTAAACTCTAATCATTGGCCTCCATAAGAAAAAATCCTTGTATCCCAAAAAATATATACGATGTTTAAAAATGTGCAATAATCATTCATGATCATCAGCCATACCATCATCACTGACTTCTTTTTGCTTAAAAACATATGTAACCAAAGTGTCTCGTATTTCGTCTATCATTTCTTGATGATAAGTAGCGGGAGCTTGGGGAAAGTACTGTAATAGAAATTATATATATTAGAACAGCAAGTGAATTTTTATTAAGTTGTTGAGATGTAATATAGAAATTAAACATCCAAGCAAACCCAAACTATTAATAAGCATAATAGCACAAATAATTTACGTTGTCACATCAATCTGAAAATTAAACATTGTATGTGTGTAAGTGTGCTTTCTCCAGCTTGATTGCTTGAACATAGTATAGCATAACATAGTTCAATCAGGGGGTATGAACCTGAAATGTTTCATCTTGTATGCTTAACTATAGGGGGACAAGGCTCAAGAGTACTATAAAATGCACATGATCTACAAGCTACAATTCAATTATGCGAAGAGTCTTGATCCATTGTTTATACATCAAGAACAGCAATGCAACAAAACAAAAACCAACAGATTTTAAAATCATGCCACAATCAATTAACAAAGTCTCGTAGCAACAACCATCTAACATCTACACCTTCCTACCACATTCAATCGTACTCAAAAGAAAACCGAAAGTTCAAATAACAATACCTACATACAAAACCATGCTTCAACAATCAACAATATGAATTAATAGAAATATTAATTCCAATCCTTCAACAACCAACACATTTGGAATTTTTATAGAATTATAGCAATGTAGAAACCAAAACAACAAAATTCACACTTACACTAAACAAACTGAATAAAAAGTGAGGGGAAAGAATATCGAAAAAGGGTGGGAGACATACTACATCTTAATGTAGAGAGAACTTTAACCCGTCAATTATGTTTGCGTATAATGGGTAAAAGTATTGTATTTTATAAAATTAAAGTTACCTTTTCTGGAACTACTTGTTGTCTCCTTGTTATTATCTCTTGCATGTAGCAGCATACATAATATCCACAATCTTTGGTGTCTTGATATTGACGTGGACACTGTTTCATCATTCAATATAGATCATTTGTTCAAATATGTAAATCATAATGAATCAAAAATTTAAAGAAGTGTATCACATACTTGTGGTTTAAGCCACAAAACTTCTGGGTTTTTTTTTTCATTTTCTTGATATCCTTTCGATGAATAACACTGAAGCTCACCATTCCGCTTCAAAATTTTCACAAAAAATTAAATGCCAATTGATTATAATTATAAAATGTATTTTAATCAAATAATGACATGCACATACGCATTAATGGTCTGTCGAGCAAATTCAAGAATTTCATTTTCGGCTCCGGCTGGATCAAGCCAGAATACAGCTCCACGCCACGGACTTATGACAGCTAACCTCCAATGCTGACTACATAAAATATACATTAGCATATCCAATGATCAGTAAATAACATAACTTACTGATCCTGCAATGGAGCAAAGAATATTTGATTAATGTTTTTTCCACCATTGCACCCAAGAACATTACATAAATAGTCAGTTCGAACTCCTTCTGTCGGGGTCAGCGGAGAAACAAAATTAACATCGCAAAAACCATACAACCCTGATATACTCTCCATTTGACACTCTTCGCTCAGGTACCTTGCATATCAAATGTCAAAATATAAATTATCCAAGTATGAACCACATGAAGATCAACATGTGAGAAAAACTAACAAGGTCAATTATCTTACAACATACCTCATGAAAATCGACATGTGAGATGACCCTACCTCTCTTTGAAAACACCAATCAAATATATCTTCATAATCAAGTCGAATTACCATCTCGTTGTGTAAAACATTGAACGGGATGTTCAAAATTATGGCCCCATTCCTCTGTCTCAATCCTATAGCTTCTTTCTTAAAAGCTTCCAATAAACCAGAGGTTACCATGGCACGATCTTTATTAGTGATGTTATATGTCTTTTTAGATGAAGCTTGTTTGGATGGCAATCTCGATATAGGGGTATTCTCCTTGTCTTTAAGTTGATTATTAACCTTAGAGAATTTTGTACACTACGGTAAATAAATAAATTAGATGTAAACTAGAAATAAAATTAAAGAAAAAACAAATTAGATGAGAATTGAAAAACTATTTTTTCAGTGGCATTTTGGCACCTATGGAAACCCTGAATTTGCACGATAATGTATTAATTCTACTTAGTATGTTTTCTGCTTTTGTGAAGGGTTGTAAAGAGTGGGGCTGATAAACTATTATACGTATCAGATTTAGGAAGAAGATTTAATTATTAATGCAAAAAGGAATATACATATATACAAAAAAGTGTACCTTTTTCTTTGAGAAAATTAAATGAGTCGGCCAGGGAACAAAACTATCCTTTGATTGACAGACAAAGGTGAAAAGCTCAGTAGGACATGGAAGTAATGCTGTTGGCACTAGGTCATCAATTACAGAGACTCGATGAGTACCAGGGGCCAAATCAAAAAAGTGATTCTTTACCACTAATGTCGACCCTGATATGTAAACTTGCCCAATTGCAACAATATGGATTTCTTTGTTATCTTCACTTGCTAAGCAACAGTCATGCATACCCTAAGTCATTTACATAATAATTAATCAATTAGTATGTATATTAATTAACTACCTCTAAAAATCGCCAAATAATTGGTAACTTATTTCAAGGAAATAAAAGTATGCATACGGGTTAGATCAATATATCTTACTAGTTTAAATAAAATAAAATGTTTGTAGTATTTTTCATACCTCAGGAAGGTTGCTAATAGGTTGAGTGTCATATGTATCGAGCCAAGGAACACTACAATTTCCATGTTGTGGTGAGTTAGCATTAGTAGTATCGGGCCAAGAAACTTGGTAAAGCTCAAGCTCATGTTCTTGTTCTTCATTATGAGGCCGAGTGTATTCCGTTTCTTGAAACTCTTGAGGCCGAGAGTATGGATTTCCTTGAGAAAATATAGCACTTTGGCCACCTTGATTAACACCTCCATGTAGAAGCTCGGTAAAAAATCCTGTATCTGGTCCAAATTCGGATGAACTAGTAACTTGGGTAACATTTTCTTGCTGAGCATAAGTACTATTAGGTTGGCCAGAGCCATTGCCTTGACCAGTGGGAACACTAGACTGGCTACTAACACCGCTGGCCATCAATTGCTTAAACTCCTCTATGTTTTGGCCCGACAACAAATAAGACATTATGACATTATTTTGGTTTTTCAGCATTGCCACCTCTGACCTGACACAATTAAGTTCATTGTGCAATTGGCTACGTGGTGTTGGTTTTGCAAAACCAAAGCACTGCTTCTTTGTTATACCTGATCCAACGCCCCTTACATGACCTCCACGCTCCGCCTTTTTCAGTGCTCGAGCTAAAATATCATCACGTCGGTTCTCGAAAACAATTTCTCCTCTCTCTGCTTGATATTTTAATGCATTCTGTTAGTAATAATAAGAAATCATATCATGTTGGAAGTGTGATAACTTTACAGATTAATATGAATATATTACTTACGAAAATTCTTACAATTGCATCTTGGATTCTTAAAAGTATATTTTTCATCTTTGAAATGTGAATGAGCTCTCAACCAAGTCTTGTGTCGAGGCACATGGTTAATATGGATCCCTTTTTTCAAGAATTCTTTTGCCTAGAATTACATGAAATAAAAGAAATTATATACAATATTAGTTAACATGAATATACATTATTTGAAAAAGTATGCATCACTTTAACTTATACATGGAGAATTATAACGAAACTTACTATCTCATCTCGATAGTATTGGTAACCAAGTGGGCCTCCACGATAGCTTGAATTTTTAAGCTTTGACCTTGCTCGACTACATTCGCTCACCGCCTGTGAATAACATTATTCCAAAATTAGAAGTATTTATTAAAAAAAATGTACTTTGACATATTCCACTTTCACATCTTCACACTTTTAATCCAAACTTGTATCTACTTTAATTTAACAATAATAACATTGCAATAATCATGAACTATAAATCTTATATATTGTTAATTTTTGCTAAACGAGTAGACTTTTGGCCTCTTAGCCAATGTAGCAGCAGATAAAGAAGCCAAGGCAACAAATCCAGTATTAAGTAAAGTTCGGCTAGAATTTCTGGATGACAACAATGTTAGCAAGACCAGCCTACTCTATAGTCTACTCAAAATTAGTTAGTTGCATGGGAGGAAATCCCATCATCTGCAGCGTATAAACTCCTGTTCTAGCTGGCCTTAATGCATCAATGAAGGCATGGATATCTCTTAAAGTGTGATGATAATTGAAATGTAATACCATAAGAGTCCCATCAGATAACCTAAGCTGGATAGAGGTTGATGGTATTTTATCATCCACGACTAAGCCCATCACAGGGGGTGGAGCAGAGCTGCGAGCGGTTACAGCAGCAGAATAGTTAGAAGGGGTCGAGCAGAATGGAACTTTTTGTTTTTGTGGTTCAGGGCAGTTCTCATTCCTCCTCAAGTATCAAAACCCCTATAAAGTACAGTAGACAACCCTTATCAAGTATAGTAGACTAGCAGAATACCAAAAATGTTTATACTTCCCAAAAAATTTCACCACTTTCTTAATAACAAAATACTAATTGCTAACCAGAATTTTCTTAAATAATCTCCATCTAAAATATAAGCTAAACTTAAACTAAGTAGTATAAACATCATAATAAATTCATACCTTGAACTTATCATCAATACTCATTGTAACAAATTTGTCCCAAATATCTTTAGTGATCCAAGGATATTTCCAATCTGGTGGCTTTTCTCTTAACCTTCCAGTTTTTTTTATGGTATAGCCAATCTCTTCTCAACCGGGTTTTAAAAGCTCTCCACCTGTCATCTGCTTGCTGTAAAATATACTCCTTACGCTCTTCTAAGACTACAAAACCTTACTGCACAATTAATTTTGAATACTCTTAGTAACACATTATAAAATACAATATTACGTATATAGTTGTTACTAAGTACTAAGTGGATCTTACCTTTATTATTTCATACAAATCATCTAAGAGAGCTCTTGGAACTTTTTTCCATGATTCATAAGTGATGCATACTCGTTCCCGAACAATTACACCAATATAGCCAGAAAAGGTTAGTCTATGTTCCCCGCATGGAAACTTAGTTATAGGGTCCCACTCTAAAGGGATCTTGGTCCCATTTTGAATTGCCTTTCCAACAGCAGCAAGTACCGTATGACCCCTTTCATCTTCACGGCTAAGTCGTTCAACATCAGAATTATCTTCATCCTCATTGCCTTCAGGTTGGTGTACCTGCTTTTTCTTTCTTGCCATTAGCCTAGAAGATGCAAAGAGTTAATTAGTTACAAGATTAAAATTAATAAAGATAAATATTACATACATGTCACGACTTAAATGAGATTTTACTAAAATTCATTAAACATAACACTATAAGGGAGCATAGAAACATATATTATTTTAAGGGTGTAGTTTTGTAAAATCATGTACTTCACCTTATTTCTTTTTCCGACGACGCTTTCGAGATACACCCTCATCATCACTATCAACCCACATGCCTTCACTATGATCATCACGCACATATGTTAATGAATCCTCCCCATGATCATCAATGAAATCATCAACTTGAATCACATTTGTGGAAAAACCTTCCTCCAACTCAATGTCATCATCCTAGGCGTCATTAATTTCATGCCTGGATCTTGGTTTTATAACAGCAGATCTTTTCTTATTAGCCGGATCAGTCATGTAAAAAACTTGTTTTTCTTGGCTAACTAAGATATAAGGATCTTCCTCAAAACCAAGCTTATCAAAATTAACCAAAGTAAACCCTATATCTTCATATTCAACTCCACTGTTTTATTTACCCATTTGCATCTAAATATTGGTATTGTAAAGCCATTGTAGTGCATCTCAATGATTTGTTCAATGATACCATAATACCACATTTTACCATAGGTAAGACTATTGTCTTTAGCACTCGCAAAGTGCATAGCTTCCGCCTCAACAACTACCCCGCTATTCTGCATAGTACTGATTTTATCTTGCTCCTCAGTGTAGAACGTGCAACCATTATACACATGCAGAATAAAAGCAAACCCTGAAATTGGGTCCTCTAGCTAAACTCTTAATTCGCTCAGAAATGGAATTTTATGGATCTTGAAGCTCACTAATTACTTGATCTTTTAGCCAGGTGCTAAATGATCTATTATGTTCACTTAATAGTGTAGGGAATAATTTCAAGCGTTAACCCCTATCTTGAACCCCACAGTGATCATACACTAAAGTACGGTGGCGTCCAAAAGGGAAGAAGATAGAGCAAAAGAGTCGCCAACAAATTTTAGGAACTTGTAAACCGTTCACAGGGTGAAGGTTGCACCCCTTAACGATCCAAGAGATCGTCAACTCCATAAGTTCTAGAACCAAATAAGGGTTCGGGGATGAAGGTACAAATCCAATCTAAAAGAGATTGAACTTGCCCTAATACTAGGCCTCTACTTTATTCTGATTGTATTCATGTGCGCTTTTTAATTAACATGCAATCAATAGGATTAACCCTAAACTTGTTTAATCTATGTTGGTTGAATTTAATGCACAAATAAATCTATTATTGGCGATCACTTGAAATTATAATCATAATTCACCCTAACAAGATTATTAATTATCTTATTAAGCATGATTACAAGTACCAATTCCCTTTAAACATGCATAAAAGGCGTGATCAAGCAATATAATAAATAATAAAGCAACATAATAAATAATAAAAAATAATAATTATAATCATCACAAATATAATTAAGAATAATCATCATGATAACACCCATATTAATCATAATAATAATTATTATAGCGATAACAAAATTATAATCATAATAAAATAATCATCATCAAAATAATAATAATCATAAATTATAACAATTATAATCATAATCATGTTCATGTTAATATTAAAGCATAATAAAAATAGCAAGATCCTAGGCATGATACTAACAAGATTAATAACAAACCCTAGCATGTCACTAAGCAATAAAAATCAAATCTTTAGCCCTAACATGATACTAACATGAATAAATATTAGGAAGAATATAGGAAGCATCGTAACAATCATATTTAAAATTAAAATTACCCTAGACATGATACTAGGAATATCATAATAACAATGTAAACATGATTTCTACATCATAACATCAATTAAAACCATTAAAGCACTTACTTTGATGCTTCGTACCTCTTTCTAATAACAAAATACACACGTTAGTAACTTCAAGGAAAATAATAAACAAACAATTAAATTAAATAATTGAAATAGAGATTTGGGACCAAACCCTCATAAATTAAACCTTTCACGTCTAGAGCGAAGGCAACTTCGAATATGGCTAGGTGTATCTAAGTCTTGCGAATGCGGAATTTTGTATGAAAAAGCAAAGTTTGGAAAAAGAGAGAAAGAATTGATGAATGAATTGATTGATGAATGAAAACTAATTGTAGGTAAATATTCGTGAGAATTGGTTGTTGATGATAATTGGTTGTTTGTGAATGAAAACGGAGTATTTACGACGTTATTTATAGAGAAAATCAGCCAAAAAGATAAAATTAACAAAACAGAGCATTGGAACAACTGAAACAGAGCTGGCGCCAACATTAGGCTATTGGCGCCAAGATCCAACACTAGCACCAGGCGCCAATGCTGGCACCAGGCGCTACAGCTGGCGTTTGGCGCTGATTTCATAAATTCACCCTTTTTTTTATCATATCTTTTGATCCGGAAGTCCAAATAAGGCATATAATATGTCGTTGGGAAGATATTAAAGTCTACTTTCCAACCCAATTAGAATCAGATTAAAATATTTTGTAGATAAAAATATATGGCCAAAATAGTGGAAGGGTGTCAGTTTTGGATAAAGTTTCATGTCTCATTCATATCTTTTTTGTTATAACTCGGATTTAATATTATAATATATCATTGGAAAGATAATTTCAAGATCTATCTAACTCTTTAAAATTTGGATAAATATTATGAGGCACAAAAATAAAATCTGAATATATTCCACTTTGTACAAAACAAGGATTCTTAAAAGGAGTAGTTTTATTCAATTTCAAACTCTTTAAAACATAATTATCAATCCTAACTCCATTAGGATTTAAAAGAACCTCCTAGAGTATTCTAAAAGACTATAATCAATCCTAATAGCTTTAGGAATGATAATTAATAATAGGCCCTCCTCTAGATCATTGGGCCGCATATAAAAACCAAATCAGGCCCAGTTTAGTATTTTGGCCATAACTTCCTCGATATTTATCGGAATTGGGCTTATAATATATCGTTGGAAAGTTCTTTTCAAACCCCATACAACTACACCATTATTGGATCCTTATCATGGACCAACCAAACTGGATTGACGATTTTCTTAAAATAAGTTTTCAAAAACAGAAAGAAGAGAAAATAATTAAAACTATCCGCAACACTAAACTTTCCACACTTTCACTTCATTTGATTATGATTCGACGTGAAAGGTACTCATCACTGGGTTTGGTTTTGGGGAGACACAAATGGGTGTCTACAAATAGTGATTTGTGATTCATCTTACGGTTTCTCTGTTTCAAGAAGGCAATGTGGTTCTTAGCATAAGGTGCAACTTCGTCCTCATTGAAAAGAATATATGTGTGAGCCCGTTGCCACTCTTCATAAGACAAATCACGCTGTTTATGGCCTATGATCCCTTTACCTTCCATTCTTCCAGTGTGTCGAGATACAGGAATCCCAATAACCTTTGCATTTTCTACATATTCACTACCTAGTCCAGCAGCATCTTCATAAAATAATCGTTCAGCAATACAACCTTCAGGGTGAAAGGCGTTCTTAACATATCCCTTATAAGTTTTCATTTTCCTTTCAAAAGGCCATTGACTCCTTGAATGAACCGGCCCACAATATCTAATCTCTCTGACCAAGTGAATGGGTAAATGAATCATAATGTCAAAAAAAGAAGGGGGGAAGAACATCTCTAATTGACAAATAATGACAGCAATTTCAGTTTCCCAATGATTCAAGTCTTTTGGGTCAATGACTTTATCATACATCGCATTAAAGAAAGAACACAACCTAATAATCGCATATCGAACATTTTTAGGTAAAATTGAGCGAATAGTTACTGGTAGCAAATGTTGCATCAAAATATGACAATCATGAGACTCTAGCCCCACAAGTTTCAAATTTCCCATTGAAACAAAGTTGCTAATATTTGAGGAAAACCCCTCTGGAACTTTAACTCCAGCTAAACTTTCACAAAAGACTTTTTTCTCTGTTCGTGACAATGAAAAAGATGCAGGAGGCAAATATCTTTTACTTCCATCAACAGCGTGCAATTCACTTCTAATTCCCATTTCCTTCAAGTCATCACGAGCTTTGGCACCATCTTTTGTCTTACCGTTGACATTCAACAATGTGTTAATTAAGCTATCACACACATTTTTTTCAATATGCATCACATCCAAACAGTGTCTAACAAAAAGGAATTTCCAATAAGGTAAACGCCAAGAACATTTTTTGTACCCTTGTTTAGGAAGCTTTGATCTATTTTTCTTCCCAAAGGTTACCTGAATGTCTTTTAACATTTTCAAACACCTCTTCACCACTCAAGACTTTAGGATGTCTTCTAAATTCTTGTTTTCCATTAAAAGCTTTTTTTTGCTTGCGGTATTCATGATTAATAGGTAAAAAAGGACGATGATCAAAGTAAGGGTTTATTTGAAGTTGATAACCATTGTCCTTTCCCTTTCATACCATCCTCGCATACTGGACAAGCCGTTTCTCCTTTCACTGTATATCCTGAAAGATTACCATAAGCTGGATAATCTTGAATGGTGAAAAACAACATAACTCTCAAATTAAAAACTTCATTATGATGTGCATCAAATGCATCTACACCTTTCTCCCATAACATCTTTAAATCATCAATAAGGGGTGCTAAATAGACGTCAATGTCATTTTCGGGCTGTTTTGGGCCAGAAATTAACAGCGAGAGCATCATGTACTTTCTTTTCATGCACAAAGAAGGAGGCAGGTTATAAGTAACCAAAACTACCGGCCATGTACTATAAGTGCTACTTAGATTACCAAATGGATTCATACCATCAGTAGACAATGCAAGGCGAAGGTTTCGCTTTTCTTTAGCAAACTCATGAAATTTTGCATCAATAAACCTCCATTGAGGGGAGTCAGCTGGGTGTCTAAGCTTCCCATCTTTTTTTTCGTCCTTCAGAATGCCATGTCAATTTTGCTACATCGCTCGCATTAGAAAAAAGACGTTTAAATCTAGGAATTATTGGAAAATACCACAAAACCTTAGCAGGCACCCCTTCTTTCTCCTTGTATCGTGAAACATTGCACACTGGACAATTTTTTAAAGAATCAAGATCATTCCGATATAAAACGCAATCATTAGGGCAAACATGAATTTTCTCATAGGGTAACCCCATTGAACACAACATCTTTTTTGCCTCATATGTGCGTCTTGGAAGAACGTTATCATCCGGAAGCATGTCTTTTATTAAATCAAGTATTTATGTAAAATTATTATCAGTCAAACCATGACCTGCCTTTAGGTTATATAACCTCAATATTGCTGATAATCTTGTGTACTTCTTACAACCTGGGTACAAGGGTTTTTCAGAATCACTTAACATCCTCTCAAATGTTGCTGGGTTTTCAGCAAATTGATCTTGAGCTACTCGCATCATGTCCGCTAACCTATCACCCTCATTATAATTATGACCACCATGACCATTATTTTTGTTATCACTTGTAGAGGTTCCATCTTTACTTTCCCCATGCCATGTCCAAATGGTATATGTTCTATCGAAGGCCGTCTTGCTCAAGTGATTAAGAATTTCATCAGTCGGTCTATACAAAAAGTTATGACACTTGAAACAAGGACATGGTAACCTAGATCGATCCCTAGCATTTTTAATAGCAAAATTAATAAATTCCCTTATTCCAGCTTCATATTGTGGGTCACCCGGCTTTGAGGTAGAAATCCAACTTCGATCCATTTCTAAGTTAAAATTTTAAAAGTTAATGGAAGCAGAACATCACGGATTTTATACATCAAGGAAAGGTCAGGCACACACACATTACTCTAATGCTTCTCAAATCAATTACACAGGTGAGACAAAACAAGAATGAAAAGCAAAGAGATAAGTAACTAACAATAATGTCTTAAAAGTTACTCTTAAGAATACAATAAAACAAGAGCACATAGTCAACCAATTGACGAGGAAACGATTGCATTACACACATAGAGAAAACCCAAATAGAGCTATCAGATACTAGTAGATAAAATCATTGTTTAAACATTCATTTGATAACCAATCTAATAAAATAACAATTAAAACCAACAAATATCATAATAAGACAACAATTTTTTTTTTCAATCTTTTCCAAATGGAAGAAAAAGTCCATTTCATTTACAAAGAATAGGCTAACTAATTATTGTTGGCATAAAACAGTAGTAATATCATTTACAAAGAATAGGCTTACTAATTATGGGGGGAGGAGGAGGGGGAGGGGGGGCTCCTTTAACTGAGAGTCAATCTAAATACATTATCCTAGGAGTTCTTGTCTCCTCATAGACATTTCTAATGGAATAAGCACCTGTACAAGTGCTGCTACACAATCACTATTTAAGGAAAGATGAAGGCATGATAAGAGAAAATAATGAAGAAACAAAGATACTTCTGATTTCTTCTAACATTTCTTCTGCTGTTTTTTTTATGTAATTATCCCTTGTTTGGTTGCACGCATAGTAGTAATGTTACAACGTTACAAGTCTAGAGCTAATACTGCGGTTCTTTATATATGCCCTTCAGCAACGTCGTCTCAACTATTTTGGAGGCCCTAAACTAATTTTAAAATGAGGCCTACATATTCATATTTTTTTTTTTCATAATGCACCAAACAAAGTTCCATTTAAATTATCATAAACTATATTATAACTATACTCTTATATTTCTTATAAAATGAATCACCAAATAAAAACTCAAATACTTCATACTTCATCAAATAATTCTTGTGCCAAAACTCAATATTAGAGTATCATAAACTATATTATAAATTAGAGCTTATAATCATATAGAACCAATGTATAACATGAGTAACAGATTATTAAGAAGTATGACAGAAATTGATACTTCATACTTCATGGAGTGATATGAATATGGAGTGTGCTAAGTGGGCCATGCCTGTTCAATTTCCTTACTGTAAGAGAACTTGAATCAACAAACATCTCCTTAACATTCCTCTTCAACACAATTTGTTATAGTCACAATTCTAATATTGATACTTTCCATCTCAAGATCAATTGGACCAAAATACTCCTACTACCACTAGATAAATACCAATTTTTTAAAATAAAATTAATCATACCAATCTGTTGTCATCTAAAAAGGCTACTTTTTTTCCAATAATCATACAAACAAAGTCCTATATATCGGCGGCAATCAACGCTACAACTTCACATATTATTTCTAATCAATTAATCTAACATTCATAAAAAAATGTAGATTATGATGAGTTAATTGAGATAATACCTGTCGCAAAATTGGGATTGGTGGCTGGATTAGGCAATTCGACGAGTACTGGTGGTAGTGGTAAATCAGGCGATTACGAATGCGGTTAAAAGCAATAAACCCTAACTTTTGAAATATTGAATTGAATTATGAAAGAAATAAAATTTCCTTTAATGGGGTACTGGGATCACCAGCAATAGAGCAGCGTTCGGAATAGTAGCAAGAAGTAAGAGAGTTTTTTTGGGCTATGGCGGAAAAGCAGCAGGGAGTAGCAGAAGAGTCGGTTTGGTCAATTGGAAGTGAAGATTTTTTTTTTCTAAATTAATCTACTTAGTAATTTTCTAGAGGGTATGGAATTTTTAATAGGAGGGAAATTTTAGGGTGAATTGGCGCTCTATTTTTTCCCAAAAAAAATACTTGTATAAAGAAACCAATGCTATTAAATTTACGGTCTCTTTGACTCTCAGCATTATCATCTTGATATAAGGCACCGGAGTTTATAAGTTTGTGGTTTCTTTTATTCAAGTCTAAGAGACCGGATATTTATGATATATGGTTTCATTATCTTAGAAACCGGTGTTCTAACTTTTCTGGTGCTAAAGAAGTGGTTCCTTAGGCCATTTTTGTAGTAGTGATTCTCCACAGGAACTTCATTTTCCACCGGAGGTGGCATCAACAAAGGAGCAGGACCTATTTGATTCAGAGGCACAGGTTCCCATATGTGGTAGGGTAATATCTGAAAAAAGAAGACAAATAGTTAGTGGCTTTTAAGTAGTCAACTAATACAAAATATTCAAAATATTCAACTTCAAACTTACTTGATCAGCAGTTAGGGCTTTGAGATTATAAACTTCAGCCCTTTTAGAATGGTACTTCTCGAGTAGAAAACTGTAATGACTTTGTATCGCAGGCTGAATGCACGGAATTCTTTCAAAAACGATAACGTCCAACACGGGTGAACAACCATTGAAAACACGTTGTTTTCCCGGTTCAGCCAAAGTAGCTTTGGACTCCATCAAACCTTTTTTTATATGACCAAGTACAATTTCAGGCCAAAGTAAAGTGACCCAACACAACCCACCAAGATAAAAAAAATAATAAAAATAAATAAATAACCAATTTTCATTTTTAAATTTTAAGTTGAAATCCTCACTAACATTTTCGAATACAACGGTTGAAGCTTGAAGGTCGCTCTTTTGCTTTTCCGTCGCCCTTAATCCCCCAATCAAAGGTCAGTGTTGCTCTTGCTCCAAGCCTCCGACACCGGACCATCACCGCTTTTCAGAGGTGTTTCTCCTTTCACTTCTCCTTTTGTTTCTCTTTTTTTAAAATGATTTTTTAATATAAAATTATATATATGTTTGCTGGAATTAGGAATTTAAGTGTGTGTTTGGCATGATCAATTGCTAAATTTTTATGCTTTTGATTTATGTGGTTTCCATCATTTTCTTTCTTTATTTTTCTCAATTTTCGCTGCTCCATGCCTTTGACGTCGGACCACCACCGCATCCTACCACTTTTCCATCATTTATATGTTATTCTATTAGTTCTTGTATTTAATTGATGAATTAAAAAGAGAATTAGGAATTTAAGTGTGTATGATCAAGATGATCAACATATTGGTTGTGCTTAGTTTAAGTAGAAATTTAAGGAATTTAAGTAGTTTTTCTTGATAATCAAGATGATCAGCATTTTGGTTGTGCTTAGGTTTTCTTGATTATGATGTATTCTTATGTTTGAACTTCAATTCGAGTTTAAATTGCCCCAAATTGGCCTTTTTTGTCCTAAAATATGCACGAATTTTTGGTTGGATTTTTAATCAAATTTGCTTGTTTAGATGCTTGATTATGCTTATGAATTAATGTGCCCAAATGTGGGATTTCTTGAATTGTTGGTCTGACTGATTTCTTGAATTGTTGGTCTGAGACTTGCAGGATGTTAGTAGTGATGTTGGCTTACTAGTAAATGTAATTGATTGGCAGTTAGAGCATCAAAGGGATACTTGGTTTTACTTGAAGTTGTTATTTACTATGTTTTAAGAAGCCTTTATTTACTATGTTTTTAGAAGCCTTATTTCTAATTTGAGTCTAACTGTTATTGTTAGGTATAATTCGTCATCAACATGAGTACTCGTGTTCGTCAGAAAATGAAATGTGCTACTAACCTTAGAAAAATTGTTGACCTACTTCAGGATTTGAGGGAAAAAAACAAAACAGATTTATTAAGTTCTTCCATTTTTACGAACTTGATAAATCTAAAAAATGACCGAGAGGCTAGTGGGCCTCTAGTACTCGAGCTCTGTAGTGTGTTTGATGGGACAAAATTTGTCTTCAACCCATCTACGACAATGCAAATATGCAGCCATGATGTAGCAGCAGCCCTTGGTATTGCAGATTCCGGGATCGTGATTGATCCCTCTATATTGGAAAACTATTCTGATTTGCCTACTTACATCCCCCATTTTGAGAAAAGTCGATATGGGGATGTCCTGTTGACCTCTGATCTTAGGAAGAGTATGGTTGATATGGAGATTAAAACAAAGGACGATGAGGTGATCTTTCAAAAACGATTCACCTTGTTTATCATCGACCAGTTTCTTTGCCCTAAGACCTTGTACCAAGCAGTTAATTCAAAATGGTTTAAATTAGTTGATGATTTAAAGACGGTTAATTCTTTGAATTGGCCTGAAATTGTACTTGGTCATATAAAAAAAGGTTTGATGGAGTCCAAATCTACTTTGGCTGAACCGGGAAAACAACGTGTTTTCAATGGATGTTCACCCGTGTTGGACGTTATCGTTTTTGAAAGAATTCCGTGCATTCAGCCTGCGATACAAAGTCATTACAGTCTTCTACTCGAGAAGTACCATTCTAAAAGGGCTAAAGTTTATAATCTCAAAGCCCTAACTGCTGATCAAGTAAGTTTGAAGTTGAATATTTTGAATATTTTGTATTAGTTGACTACTTAAAAGCCACTAACTGTTTGTCTTCTTTTTTCAGATATTACCCTGCCACATATGCGAACCTGTGTCTCTGAATCAAATAGGTCTTGCTCCCTTGTTGATGCCACCTCCGGTGGAAAATGAAGATCCTGTGGAGAATGAAGTTCCGGTGGAGAATGAGGTTCCGGTGGAGAATGAAGTTCCGGTGGAGAATGAGGTAACTTCAAGAGTGCATGCTATTCCTTGTTTGTGTTGTGTACTTAACTACATATCATGTATATTTGACTCCTCTGGTCATCTTTTCAGACTCCGGTTTCAATGCCTGTCTCGAAGGAGGTATTGCCCACATCTCAACCTCAACCTCAACCTCCAATGTTGGACCCTTTGGTCTCCTCTTTTGAGGGCATGAACCTCGATCATCCGGAAGAGCCGCAGCCGGAAGAGCAGCAGCTGGAAGAGCCGCAGCCGGAAGAGCCACAACCAGAAGAGCAGCAGCTGCGGAGGTCATGCAGATATAGAGTACCAAGTCAGAAGGCTGTGGAGGCAGCGGCAACAGCGGCAGCGAGCCGAGGTAGGGGCCAAGGGGAGCTTGCTGAGGGTGCTGACATTTCATAGCTATCTTACTCATGTTAAGGAGAACTTCTATTATTATTATTAGGTGCTTATTATGATTTATGGCTATAAATGATAATAGGTTTAGAGTAAAGAATACATATTTTGTTCTAAATATTACTGTAATGGTGGTGTTTTAGTAATTTTAATTTCTGAAATTGCTATTTTTGAAATTTGCCCAATGTGCGGAGATGCTTCTGAAACTCCCTCTCATGCTTTCTTCAAGTGCAGGGAAGCTCGATATTTCTGGTATGCCTCTCCCATTAGACTTGATGTCAGTAATTGTGATGATCTTTCCTGTAAAAATTGGTGTTTTGCTCTGTGGAAATTTTACAAGGATGATTCATGGTGGAGTCTAATTTGGTCATTATTGTGGGGACTATGGCTAAAAAGAAATGCTTGGGTTTTGATAAAAAAAAAAAAAGGTTGTTGGATAGGGAGATTATAGGGAAGGCAGTTAGTGTAGTTGGAGAATATGAGAAAGCCAAAGAAGCTGCTGCCTCTGATCACTGCTCTCCTGCCTGTACTTCTCATATTTGGCATGCCCCTGCAATGGGCTTATATAAAATTAATACAAATGCTGCAATTTTTGATGATGGCAGGTTTGGTTTGGGTGGCGCCATACGTGACTGCTTGGGGGACATTATGGCAGCAACGTGTATAATTGTGCAGGGAAGTGGCAAGGTGGAAGTTGCTGAAGCGCTTGCTGCAAGACATACTTTAAACATTGCTTTAGAAGCTGGCCTTTCTCGGTTTGTTCTTGAAACTGATAATCTTAAACTCTTTAAACATCTTGAGCAAGGGAAGTGTGAAGCTAATACTTTTGGCCTTGTGGTTAGTGATATTATGGAGTTAGCTAAGAAGTGTGAGTTTTTTAGCTTTTCTCATATTGGCAGGAGGGGAAACAAGGTAGCCCACTGCCTTGCTCACCTTAGTAAGCAGATAGGGGAGTTGAGAGTTTGGTTTGAGGAGTTTCCTCAAGAAGCTCTTTGTTTTGTAATCTCGGACTCTGCTGTTTCTGTTTAGTTGTTCTTGTTGTTTTCCAGTAAAAAAAAAAAAAGAAAAAAAAATAAAACTATAGTATAATTTTATATTACTCTTTTTCCCTTATTTCTCCCTAGTTTAGGTTATTTTCTAGTTTTCCTTGATTTCCCGTAGTTTTCTTGTTTTTCTTTTATTTTTCCCCAAACCTTGTTACTTGTGATGCTTTTAATGTTATTTCGCAGGTTTAGGACGAGTTTTCAAGGATTATTGTGAGCTTAGACAAACTAGGAGGGCATTAAAACTTGGAAGAGGAAGCGAGGAGTTGCATTTGGAAGCAAAGAGTGAGTTTTAAGGCGTTCCAAGACCACCCCTAGGCTGGCGCGCTCGCGCCAGGGGTGTGTGGTAAGAGTTGGCTGCTAGAAATACTCAAGGAAGCTTGATGAAAATCTCTGCCTACTGACCCAGCACCAAGGCAGTGTGGCGCGCGCGCGGGAGATCAGGCGTGCTTGGGGGAGCATAAAGCGACCACAACATTAATAACACTTATATTATTGATAATATCAACAACAATAACAATAATAATAATAATAAGTCAAAGAAGAACAATAACAACACGAGACTTGATATGTTATAATTTCTCAAGTCATCAAAGACATAATTGTTCTAACCGGTTAACTGAGACTGCATTGGGAAGGTAAAAACCATAATTAAATTTCTTTGGCGGGAGAAATTGAAAAATCAACTAGCTTTATAAAGCTTTCTCTATAAGCTTCCCTCAAACAAACAAAGCTTGTTCATAAAAAAAAAAAGAAAAAAAAAATCGGAAGATCTTTAACTGCTATTGAAGAAGAAATTCATCCTTGTAAAGTTGGACGAATTTAATCTGCTAACCCAATGCCATCTGTGTCTTTACTAAGGAAACATACTTAGGTTAACTAAAAAATCAACAAATTGGCAAAACAATTAATAAGAAATGATACTAATCCTAACCTGCACGGGCTGCACCCCAAACCCCAAATTAACCCAAACCTGTACCCAGACCACCACCACCCACCACCACCGTAATTCAACCACCATTTCCGACCACCGCCGTAAAAAATAGAAAAAAAAAGTCATGTAACTCAAATCAGCAACAAACACAAGTCCACAACAATCTAATCGCCAAGAACCTATTTTTTTTTTAAATAAACATAAGAAATTTAAAAACCAGTTTAAAAATATGAGAACATATCTTAAAGAACCTCGAATTTAGTTTTATAAGGCTAAATTCGACCATGAAAACTCTAGATCTAGAGTTTTCATGGTCAAAGTCAACTTTAAAAACAAAGAGAAGAGCAATGTTTTATTGTAAACCCACCAATATTATGCAGATTAAATGAAACGAGGAGAAGAGCAAGAAAAAGGACCAAAATAGCAGAAGAAATGAGGAGAAGAGAGAGGTAGAGAATAGGGGAAAAGATATGAGGAGAGAGAAAGAATATGGGTGGGGGGCGGCTATACAATATGGGAGAGCCTATCAGGTTTTCTTCTTTTTTTTCAATTAGTTAATGTTAGATTTTTTTGAGAAATAGAATGTTAGATACGGAGTAGTAGTGTAGTAGTAATATTAGAATGAGTTTACATTTATTTCTATTCAAAAAAAAAGTTTACATTTATTTGACTCTTCTTTTATTTAAATAATATTTGGATTATATATATATATATATATATATCGGGTCTCGCGAGTTTATCGAGTCGAGTTTATTGCTGCTCGGCTCGACTCGTTACCATCCCGAGTCGATCTCGAGCTCGGGCCGAGCTCAAACGAGCCGAGCTTTGACCGATTTTTGACCGAGTCGGTCTCGAGTAGCTCACGAGTAGTGTTGTATCATAATCACCCCTAGCCTTAAGTAGGGTATATATAGTGGTGTTTGAATGGACTTTTGGGCCTTAGTAGCATACATGTGGGCCATTGTAGCATAAGTGACTTATTTGGGTCTTTTTGGCCTTATGAGGGTAGCTTTACCCTTGGCTATAATGGGCCCTACCCATTATAGTACCCAAACACAATATATGTCAATGTACTCTAGTCAACACGTGTAGTTTTTCTTTTTTTGCCGCTCCACAAATATTGCAACAATTACTATTTTAGGAAGTTTCACAAATATTGCATGGGTCAAAATGGGTTGAGTCGATATGGGCTGGACTTAATCTTTTTAACCCACGACACGCACATCGAATTTATGAATATTTTGAAATTTCCTCTTTTTACCCTCCATTTTCTTCAAAAGATTAAACCCAGAAAAAAATGTAAAAAAAGAGAAGATTATTGTAATTTTTTTTTTGGCTATTTTGGGAGAAACCCAGAGGATTTGAATATGTAAAAATGGAAGTTAAAGAGTGAGTGTGTCACACTGAGCATTGTAAAAACTACAGTATAACATAGCAACGTCTATTGTACTAATCAACTATAACGTATAATTGATCATCCGGATATCCGGATAATCAACACCCATGAAAATTTGACACCAAAAAAGGCAAAAATGCAAAACCCCCAACACAAATATAATACTCCATTAAACACATGAAAAAATAGATTAATCAAACTCACACAAATATAAGTATATACTAGTATAACTCATTAAAAACATGACAACATAAATTAATCATTTAATCCAACTCCAAAAAAAAGAAGTAAAGAGGACTTACAAACAACTTCAAAACATGCAATTTGTTGGGTTTAAATCTATCAAAAGAAATACGACTTCTGAATTTGTTACCCTTAATATCTTCCAAATATAACTATTTACTATCCTAGAAAACCTTTCTTCTGCGTTTTAATTCATTTGTTTCCCTCAATATTTTACACCATTCTTTCCTCACTTTTATACAAAATCATCTTTCCTCACTTTTTTTACAAAATCATCTACCGAAACTCTCATCATTTTCTGGGTTTGTTTTTGTCCATGTTAGAAGTACGGTTAACTTGTTCCACTAATAATTGATTATCCACACTTCTTAAATAAGTCCAAGTTTAACCTTTCAAATCGAGCACGAGTCATAAAAAGAATTTTCTGCTGAACAGATATCTACAATGATCATCTTGGTATGAATGTCAAGGAAGTTGTCATCACTGTTCCAGCTTATTTCAATAACTTGCAGCGTCAAGCAACTAAGGACACAAAATTACTTAGGAGATACAACAAGACAATCACAACAGTGTGTAGTATGGATCTAATGTAAACATTTCAGAAACCATCTGATTCACTTACTCCCATCCAACATATGCATAAGCATATTTATAGAGCATGGAAACATAATGACACCTCTAAATAAGAGATGTTAACTTATTCTTGAAAACATATAACTCTTTAAAAGAGGAGTTATCATATTTAAGATACATTACGTGTGAAACGTCCCAACTTTTAATTAAAATAAGTTATATGCTCTAACATATATGACGTTTAATATATTTTATGTTGATTAAAGTATGAAGCTTTAACTAGTTAATGAATACTTGAACTAGTTAAATAAAATTGTAAATTATTTAAGCAAATATAACCAATTAGATTCACTAAACACGTAATTAGGATGATCAACATATTAGTAAAAGCTCTATACATAAAATACGAATTGAACGAAATTCATGCATAATTCTGGAAAACAAACATGGATTTTAACATTTTGTATCAAATAATTTAATAATTTCGGTGTCGGCTGTCTCTGAATTACAGTTCTCCGGATAATCAATAATAATTTATAGTTATTCGGATAATCAACTATAAGTTATAGTTAATTATCCGGATATCCAGATAATCAAGTAACTCTTGTTTATGAGTTGTGCAAACCAAAAAAACCATTTAATAAATATTGTAGAGTACTTTATATATAAATTTGTTCTTTTTTTTTTTAACATAAGATATCTGATACAAATTATATAGATTTTTTTTAACATAAGTTATCTGATACAAATTATATAGATCATATAACTAATATTTGATTTTTCGGATAATCAATAATTGATTATATGGGTATCCGGATAATCAACTATAAGTTATAATTATCCGGATAATCAACTATAAGTTATAGTTGATTATCTAGATATCCGGATAATCAAGTAACTCTTGTACGTTTTTAATGTATCATCGCTCAAGCTCAAAAGGGAGTTCCCAGTCATGCCATCTAAAACTCCCGACATAACATAGATATAACCATTATGAGTTGTGCAAACCAAAGAATATAGTCATAATGTGACGAAAAGAACATAGTTAACCCAAAAATCCAAGAGACGAAAAGAAATAAGGATCAAATAAAATACGCATAAAGCGACCACAACATTAATAACACTTATATTATTGATAATATCAACAACAATAACAAAAATAATAATAATAAGTCAAAGAAGAACAATAACAACACGAGACTTGATATGTTATAATTTCTCAAGTCATCAAAGACATAATTGTTCTAACCGGTTAACTGAAACTGCATTGGGAAGGTAAAAACCATAATTAACTTTCTTTGGCGGGAGAAATTGAAAAATCAACTAGCTTTATAAAGCTTTCTCTATAAGCTTCCCTCAAACAAATAGAGCTTGTTCATAAAAAAAAAAGAAAAAAAAATCGGAAGATCTCTAACTGCTATTGAAGAAGAAATTCATCCTTGTAAAGTTGGACAAATTTAATCTGCTAACCCAATGCCATATGTGTCTTTACTAAGGAAACATACTTAGGTTAATACCCACCACCACCGTAATTCAACCACCATTTCCGACCACCGCTCGGCTCGGCTGGACTCGTTACCATCCCGAGTCGATCTCGAGCTCGGGCCGAGCTCAAACGAGCCGAGCATTGACCGAGTTTTGACCGAGTCGGTCTCGAGTAGCTCACGAGTAGTGTTGTATCATAATCACCCCTAGCCCCTAAGTAGGGTATATATAGTGGTGTTTGAATGGATTTTTGGGCCTTAGTAGCATACATGTGGGCCATTGTAGCATAAGAGACTTATTTGGGTCTTTTTGGCCTTTTGGCCTTATGAGGGTAGCTTTACCCTTGGCTATAATGGGCCCTACCCATTATAGTACC